AGTAGAAAAACATGTTTGCGCGACGGCAACTTGCGCGACGGATCAAATTTCGTCGCGCAAAGTATGTTTGCGCGACGCAAAACACAAAACGTCGCGCAAACTACCTTTGCGCAACGGAACTTTGCACGACGAAGTCTTGCGTCGCGCAAAACAGCTTTGCACGACGTATGTGCAACTGTGTCGCGCAAAGCTGTTTTGCGCGACGCAATACCTACGTCGTGCGAAGTTTTTTTTTTTTTTTTTGTCCTTTTCCTTATCTTTTGGGGTTCTTGCGTTGCCTTTTTATTTTGTGGTATCCACTTGTGTAAATGTTTTAAATTGACGATCAAATTAGTTCATTGTATTCATATAAGGTTAAAGAATATAGCTGTAAAAAATCATCAAAATCGGAGTTAAAATAACCGTTAAATCGTGATTTTTCGTTTATAGCCGTTGAAAAGGCTTGTCCCGTTACATAATCTCTTAATGTTTTTTTTTTGCGATTTTTGGCATATGCGATCTCAAAGCATATACAAACAAGTTTGACGGTTGGATCGTTCAAATTAGTTTCGTACAATGCGTTTCCCATCAAAACAATAGATTCACTAACACTTAGAATTCATTAATACTTTCATCAAGTATAACATACGATTTTGTGGTATCCACTTGTGTAAATATTTTAAATTGACGATCGAATCAGTTCGTTGTATTCATGTAAGGTTAAAGAGTGCATCTGTAAAAAATCATCAAAATCGGAGTTAAAACTACCGTTAAATCGTGATGTTTCGTTTATAACCGTCGAAAATTTTTGTCTCGTTACTTGATCTCTGAATGTTTGTTTTTTGCGATTTTTGGTGTATGCAATCTCGAAGTATATACGAATAAGTTTGACGGTTGGATCATGGAAATTAGTTTCGTACAATGCGTATCCCATCAAAACGATGGATTCCCTAACACTTAGAGTTTATTTATACTTTCATCAAGTATAACATAAGATTTTGTGGTATCCACTTGTGTAAATATTTTAAATTGACGATCGAATCTATTCGTTGTATTCATAGAGGGTCAAGAAGTGTAATTGTAAAAAATCATCAAAATCGGAGTTAAAATAACCATTAAATCGTGATTTTTTGTTTATAACCGTCGAAAAGTTTTGTCTCGTTACTTGATCTCTGAATGTTTACTTTTTGCAATTTTTGGCGTATGCGATCTTGAAGTATATACAAACAAGTTTGATGGTTGGATCGTTGAAACTAATTTCGTACAATATGTTTCCCATCAACTTCAATGGTATATATATTTACTTAGTAGATTTTAATGTATTTATTTTGTGCTCATAAGCAAAAGGGCAAAAATAAAAAACTTTGCGTGACGTAGGTGTTGCGTCGTGCAAAGCTGTTTTGCGCGACGCAACACCTACGTCGTGCAAAGTTTTTTTTTTTTTTTTCCTTTTGCTTTTCTTTTGGGGTTCTTGCATTGCCTTTTTCTTTTGTGGTATCCACTTGTGTAAATGTTTTAAATTGACGATCGAATTAGTTCATTGTATTCATATAGGTTTAAAAAGTGTAGCTGTAAAATATCATCAAAATCGGAGTTAAAATAACCGTTAAATCATGATTTTTCGTTTATAGCCGTTCAAAAGGTTTGTCTCATTACTTGATATTTGAATGTTTGTTTTTTGTGATTTTTGGCATATACGATCTCGAAGTATATACAAACAAGTTTGACGGTTGGATCGTTGAAACTAGTTTCGTGCAATGTGTTTCCCATCAAAACGATAGGTTCACTAACACTTTGAGTTTATTTCTTCTTTCATTAAGTATAACATAAGATTTTGTGGTATCCACTTGTGTAAATATTTTAAATTGACGATCGAATTTGTTTGTTGTATTCATATAGGGTCAAGGAGTTTAGCTGTAAAAAATCATCAAAATCGGAGTTAAAATAATCGTTAAATCGTGATTTTTCGTTTATAACCATCGAAAAGGTTTGTCCCGTTACTTGATCTCTAAATATTTGTGTTTTGCGATTTTTGGCGTATGGGATCTCAAAATATATACAAACAAGTTTGACGGTTGGATCATTGAAACTAATTTCGTACAATGTGTTTCCCATCAAGTTCTTGGTATATGTATTTACTTAGTAGATTTTAATATATTTATTTTGTACAAATAAACAAAAGGACAAAAAAAAAAAAAAAGGCCTTTGCGCGACGTAGGTACAACAGCGTCGCGCAAACCAGGTTTGCGCGACGCAGTTGTACCTACGTCGCGCAAAGGCCTTTTTTTTTTTTTTTTTTTTTTGTTGCCTTTTTCCTTTTCTTTTGGGGTTCTTGCATTGCATTTTTCTTTTGTGGTATCCACTTGTGCAAATGTTTTAAATTGACGATCGAATTAGTTCATTGTATTCATATAAGGTCAAAGAGTGTAGCTGTAAAAAAAATATCAAAATCAGAGTTAAAATAACCGTTAAATCATGATTTTTCGTTTATAGCTGTCGAAAAGGTTTGTCCCGTAACTTGATATTTGAATGTTTGTTTTTTGCGATTTTTGGCGTATGCGATCTCGAAGCATATACAAACAAGTTTGACGGTTGGATCGTTGAAACTAGTTTCGTATAATGCGTATCCCATCAAAACAATGGATTCACTAACACTTCGAGTTTATTTATACTTTCATTAAGTATAACATAAGATTTTGTGATATCCACTTGTGTAAATGTTTTAAATTGATGATCGAATTAGTTCATTGTATTCATATAAGGTTAAAGAGTATAGCTGTAAAAAATCATCAAAATCGGAGTTAAAATAACCGTTAAATCGTGATTTTTTGTTTATAGCCGTCGAAAAGGTTTGTCCCGTTACATAATCTTTGAAAGTTTGTTTTTTGCAATTTTTTATGTATGCGATCTCAAAGCATATACAAACAAGTTTGGCGGTTGGATCGTTCAAACTAGTTTCGTACAATGTGTTTCTCATCAAAACGATAGATTCACTAACACTTTGAGTTTATTTCTTCTTTCATTAAGTATAACATAAGATTTTGTGGTATCCACTTGTGTAAATATTTTAAATTGACGATCGAATTTGTTTGTTGTATTCATATAGGGTCAAGGAGTTTAGCTGTAAAAAATCATCAAAATCGGAGTTAAAATAATCGTTAAATCGTGATTTTTCGTTTATAACCATCGAAAAGGTTTGTCCCGTTACTTGATCTCTAAATATTTGTGTTTTGCGATTTTTGGCGTATGGGATCTCAAAATATATACAAACAAGTTTGACGGTTGGATCATTGAAACTAATTTCGTACAATGTGTTTCCCATCAAGTTCTTGGTATATGTATTTAATTAGTAGATTTTAATATATTTATTTTGTACAAATAAACAAAAGGACAAAAAAAAAAAAAAAGGTCTTTGCGCGACGTAGGTACAACAGCGTCGCGCAAACCAGGTTTGCGCGACGCAGTTGTACCTACGTCGCGCAAAGGCCTTTTTTTTTTTTTTTTTTTGGTTGCCTTTTTCCTTTTCTTTTGGGGTTCTTGCATTGCATTTTTCTTTTGTGGTATCCACTTGTGCAAATGTTTTAAATTGACGATCGAATTAGTTCATTGTATTCATATAAGGTCAAAGAGTGTAGCTGTAAAAAAATATCAAAATCAGAGTTAAAATAACCGTTAAATCATGATTTTTCGTTTATAGCTGTCGAAAAGGTTTGTCCCGTAACTTGATATTTGAATGTTTGTTTTTTGCGATTTTTGGCGTATGCGATCTCGAAGCATATACAAACAAGTTTGACGGTTGGATCGTTGAAACTAGTTTCGTATAATGCGTATCCCATCAAAACAATGGATTCACTAACACTTCGAGTTTATTTATACTTTCATTAAGTATAACATAAGATTTTGTGATATCCACTTGTGTAAATGTTTTAAATTGATGATCGAATTAGTTCATTGTATTCATATAAGGTTAAAGAGTATAGCTGTAAAAAATCATCAAAATCGGAGTTAAAATAACCGTTAAATCGTGATTTTTTGTTTATAGCCGTCGAAAAGGTTTGTCCCGTTACATAATCTTTGAAAGTTTGTTTTTTGCAATTTTTTATGTATGCAATCTCAAAGCATATACAAACAAGTTTGGCGGTTGGATCGTTCAAACTAGTTTCGTACAATGTGTTTCTCATCAAAACGATAGATTCACTAACACTTAGAATTTATTAATACTTTCATCAAGTATAACATACAATTTTGTGGTATCCGCTTGTGTAAATATTTTAAATTGACGATCGAATCAGTTTGTTGTATTCATATAAGGTTAAAGAGTGTATCTGTAAAAAAATCATCAAAATCGGAGTTAAAACTACCGTTAAATCGTGATGTTTCGTTTATAACCGTCGAAAAGTTTTGTCCCGTTACTTGATCTCTAAATATTTGTGTTTTGCGATTTTTGGCGTATGGGATCTCAAAATATATACAAACAAGTTTGACGGTTGGATCATTGAAACTAATTTCGTACAATGCGCATCCCATCAAAACGATAGATTCCCTAACACTTAGAGTTTATTTATACTTTCATCAAGTATAACATAAGATTTTATGGTATCCACTTGTGTAAATATTTTCAATTGACGATCGAATTAGTTTGTTGTATTCATATAGGGTCAAGGAGTGTAGCTGTAAAAAAATCAGCAAAATCGAAGTTAAAATAACCGTTAAATCGTGATTTTTCGTTTATAACCGTCGAAAATTTTTGTCCCGTTACTTGATCTCTGAATGTTTGTTTTTTGCAATTTTTGGTATATGCGATCTTGAAATATATACAAACAAGTTTGACGGTTTAATCGTTGAAACTAATTTCGTACAATGCGTTTCCCGTCAAGTTCAATGGTATATATATTTATTAAGTAGATTTAAATTTATTTATTTTGTACGTATAACACTTAAGAAATTGAATGATATGTATATTTACTAAGTAGCTTTAAATTTAATTATTATTGTATTTCAGATCGGGTTTTTGTTAAAAAAATATATTATTGTGAGTTTTATGTTAAAAAAAATTGAATTTGAAAAGAGTACAATCACATTTTCAATAAATTTTGTAATATTTAAAAAAAAAAAAAAAAAAAAAACCACTTTGCGTGACGTCGAGATGTATACCTGCGTCGCGCCAGTGATAATTCTGGCGGTGAAAATGTAAAAATTAAGCGCTTTTTTTTTAAATTTTCCCGGACAAATATTTCCGAGACCCGAACTGTCTCTCGCTCATCTCGCCCCCTCTCTCACTCGGTCTCTCTCTTCCCGTAGCCTTCCTCCTCATCTTCTTTCCATTCTCATCCTTTCTCTCTTCCCAACCCAAACCCTAATCCCATTCCACTCCAGCCGACTCTCCTCCTCAGCTCAGCTCGCACAAGGCTTTCCCTCCCAATTGCCCATTTGTTTCTCCAACCGCCGCTCGATTTTGTTCATGTAAGTATACGGTCTATTAGATTGATGGTAATTGCTGATTAGATTTTTTTGTTTCTGGATATGGTTGCTGTCTTTTTGATTTGATATCAGTCGTTTCGTGCTGGTTTCACTGTTATGGTTATGAAATTTGGGTTTTTTAGGACTCAGATTGATGTGGGTTGAATGAGATAATTACCATTAGATTTGATTTTTTTCATGTGGGTCAGTTTTGTTTTGTTTTTTGATACCTCAATCTGTGAGTTTCTTACCTATGGGTTTTGGTAGCGTGTTACCCTTTAATTATAATCATTGTTCCTACAAAATCGAAACCTAAATCACACATTCGCCATCTCTTTCGCGGATCTGCAACTCTTTTTCGCCATTTCTCTGGCTGATGTGTAGAAACCCTTCGCTACTCTCCCAACTTCGACTTCATCTCACGGTACTCTCTCTCTCTCTCTCTCTCTCTCTCTCTCTCTCTCTCTCTCTCTTTCTCTGTCTTACACACACAGGGCACAGAAATATGGAATTTCTTTCAATTGTGCAAGTTTGAAAAGATGAAAGATTTAAGGTAATAGCAGATGTGATTGTTCATTGAATCTTTAGTTTGCGTTGATCAATTTAATTCATATGCATCACTTGAAATCTCAAAGAGAGGGAATTATCGATGGCTTGATCAATGAATCTTTGGATGGATTGGTATGCAAGTTATGCCGAGTGAGGTGTTGCTTGTGGTTGTCTCTATTCACAGGTTATATTTTCTCTAGCTAATGGATTTTATTTGGGACAACTAGATATTGTATCGGTTTGGGAATCTTTGGTCTAAGCACTTTAAGGATGTCCCCTTAGTGTGCCTTCGTCTTAACTGGCTGGATTTTTGTATAGAGTGGTGCTGGAGTTCTACTTTTAATTTCTCCCTTATGTGAGCTTCATCTCTTACAAACAAAAAGAAAGACTGCAGTTCTGTGAACAAATCCTTGGTGTTCTAGAAGAGGATTATATCATTAAGTGCATGCATTAGCTGGATAAGTTTCCGAAAAAATCATGATGCTCAGATCCTAAACTGTGCACCTTATTCCAGGTTGCAGTGCTGTACCAACTATTGAGAACAAAAAGGTTTCTGTTGGGACTTTGGAATGGGTTCAAAGGTAATTACATGGTATAATGGAATATAATAGTTTGTATCATTGCACATTTGAATGTGAATTTGCTTCTTGTAAAGGTGTAATGATGATAGGCATTAGCCCTGGACCATTTTTAAGAGAATTTAGAATCCTATTATTGAAAATTTAGATTCATATAGGACAACATAGAGTGCTGTCTATGATCATGATGAACTCTTTACGATATAAATAACAATGTACATGGAGAAGTAATGCTTGACAGATTCGACTTACAGGAGCACTAAAATGAAGTTCTATAAGTAGCACAATTTGTAGAAAACAGAAGCAGCTTAGAGAGACTAAGAAGATATAGGGGTACTTCAACAGATGCTTATTTCTTTCTCCAATTTGAGTTTGGCTTACAAAAGTGAGCCTTATTTTCTAAAGGTTTTTGCAAAACGACTTTAAAAGAAAATCCTAGAGATTCATTAAAGATATGTAGAATCTTAGAAAACTTTTAGGGCTCATTTGGTGTTAGGGAATTGAAGGCAACCAAGGGCACATGTTTTGTTAAATTTAGGGATCTCAATAAACAGATTTTTGATTCATGGACCAATTCTAAATTTTACTCTTGATTGTTTGCCGAACTCTTAAATGACCCCAGAAGATGGATTGACTATTTAGCTTACCATGGAAATTAATTTTGGGAACCAAAGGCTTAGTTGTTTTCATCTTCCAAATAAGATATCTTTTGTTTTGTTTTTTTTTTTTTTTCCTTCTTAATATGACAAATAATTTAATCTTGGATCATGTATTGAGGTCCCATTGAAAAACTAAATATATGTAGGCATGGAGTTACCATTTGAAGAAGTAGAAGCCCACACGAGTCAATCTATTGTATATGTTGGCATTGATAGTACTCTTGCCGGTCTCATTTATTTTGAGGATCAGATAAGGGTAGATGCTGGACAAGTTGTCAAATCTTTATCGAAGCAAGGGATCGATGTATACATGCTATCTGGGGACAAAAGCAATAACGCGGAGTACGTCGCGTTTGTTGTTGGTATTCCGAAAGAGAAGGTAAGGAGTTCTTAATTACTTCTTTCTTTGATGGGAAACAAAAATTTTATCGATTTGGGAAAAATGTAAAAAATAGGTAATTTTCTTAAAAATATAACATTGTAGTAGGATTATTTGCACGAACACCTCCCGGGTTGTTTTTGAAAGCAGAAATAGGTATCAGATTCAACGGTATTATTTTTGAAAACCAAACTATAGAGGATTACATGCTGTTGTAGCAAAATTTTCTTTTAGACGTTTACCATCCGCAACTATGAATGAATAATTGAAGAGTGCAGCGGAATTCTTTTCACCATCTATAAAAGATTATTTGAAAAATTTGCATAATGTTGATTGGTGGAGCATTGATGGAAAAAGTAGTTATCTTTCTTTTCATATAATAAGCATTGTTGTGTAGGATATTTGATCTTCACAATTTCTTGCAGTTACTTGATGCCTTGGAACTGAGCAGGCTAACTATGAAGCAAAATCTCGATGTCCAGTCTTCAAATCCCGATGCTATCACTTGATCTTGCTCCATCTTTGACCTCCTAGCCACTTTTTGCCCGGCCGATACCCAGTAGCTTGATGTATCAAACCTAGAAGATAGTTATTGTAGTTTTTTCTATTTTTGTTCGGACATCTTGTATGTACATTTTCATATATTTTATAATTAAATACTTTTTCTTGGTTTATTAATTATTGTTTAGAATTTAATTACAATATTTATTAAAAAGTAAATAAAAAAATATTTTTGCCAAAAAAAAAAAAAGGGTTTGCACGACGAAGAAGTAAGCTACGTTGCGCAAAGTGGCTTTGTGCGACGCATGTCCCTACGTCGCGCAAAGCGGGGCAAAGCCACTATGCCACTTTGTGCGACGCACACACGTCGCGCAAAGAGTCTTTGCACGACGTAGGACGCGCGTCGCGCAAACGAGCTTTGCACGACGTAGGACGCACGTCGCGCAAAGTGGCTTTGCACGACGTAGGACGCGCGTCGCGCAAAGTGGCTTTGCACGACGTAGTCCGTGCGTCGCGCAAAGCCACTTTGCGCGACGCATGTTATTTCTTCGTCGCGCAAACCCTACCGTCACTGCCTTGGCGCGACGGTTAGCGCGCGACGAAGGTTGCGTCACGCAAACCCTTAGGCAACGATTTTTGACTTTGCGCGACGAATGTACGTACGTCGCGCAAAGTGTTTTTTTTACTAGTGCTGCAATGCATAAGAAACCACGAAAGACAGTTCTGTGAAATTGCTCGCGCAAGATGAATTGTGGAGAATTGAGCACTCTTACCATATGCTGATTAAGAGGACAAGACTATGATATAGGCTGAAGCTCTCTTGATGCAGTACGAAAGAGGAGACGTACCACCCGAAGCTTCGTAAGGAACAAAATACCGTTGTTTATGTACGGTTTGAAGGGTTTATTTTCACCCTGCAACAACATTGCAATTACTTGTATCGTATATTTAATCATCTACATCAAGAGAGGTCACCAACAAACAATGCAAAAAAAAAGATGCATACAAGCTCAGGAACAAAATCGATTTCGTGATTTCCTGCAGTCCAAATCCACGGTTTGTAAGCAACATTTCTCTCTACGAACCTCCCCACGTATCCCAGCTGTTATTGTAATGAAACGGATAATCATCTGCGTAAAAGAGGTCCCCAACAAACAATACTGTCTGTCCCTTCGCAGGGTTTAATTCGTAATGTGCAAGTGTATCATTTGAATCGTGGGTTTAAGATAAATTTCTCATCTCAACCGTCAGTCAGCTCCACTAAGACATTTAATAAGTTTTTCTGTATAGTTTAATAATTTTTCCTCCTGTTATTCATCTATTACGATTCGTCTCTGACGTAAAGATTCGAAGTGAATTCTTCTTTGTAATTAGGGCTTGCTACATTTGCCCAAGTGGGGATTTTACTTTTTGCTGGACTCGAATTATATAAATTTTATTATTTATTTGATTTTTTTATGGAGATTTTACTTTGGTGTTTGATTGACAGGTTATCAGCGACAATGATATCCATAATATTGTTCTGTCATACCTTGTGCATAACTGCTACAAAGAAACTATGGAGTCGTTTGTTGCTTCGACGGGGACGAAGCAGCCGGCTGACTGCATTGAGGATATGGAGAAATGAAAATGTAGGTTTGCAACGACGTCGAAATGTGTGTGTATCAGTAACTTCTTTAAGTATATATCTCTGAGACTTATAGTATGAGTCAAACACTAGTACATAACCATGTGCGGCACTAATATATGGTTATTAACATATAAAATGAAAATCTGATACATGGTTTTGATGTTCTTAAACTCATTAATCAATTTTGTTGTATCTACACCATTTGTTCCTTTCTATTACTCTTAGGTTATAATTTTATAACTTTAATATCCGAAATAATTAATTTTATAACTTAATATCTGATGTGGATCTCATTGTAATGTTATTTTAAATTTAACGCTTGAAAAGACGGATACCATTATCCAAAATATCTCCCTAGAGAAAGTTTGAAAATACCTTCATAAACCCCAAACACTTTATTTTCAAAAAAATTGAAAAAAATGATAAAGTAAACGTGTTTATCCTCTTATTTAAATAAAATGTGAAAAAAAAAAATTAGAAACAAACATCTATTTCAACTGTCAACAAATCTCTTACTTATCTCAACTTTTAGTTTTTACTCAGAAATACATAACTCTCACTTATCTCAACTTCTAGTTCTTCTTCAGAAATACATACTCAATCAGTTTTTTATACAGTTTAAGAATTTTCTCTCGTACTGTTATTCATTCATTTCTGACTTATCTTAACTTTCATTCAGCTTCAGAGAGACAGTTAGTTTTCTGTACAGTTTAAGAATTTTCTCTCATAGTGTTAATCATCCACTTTTCTCTCATGTGAACTTTCAGTCAGCTTCAGAAAGTCATACTCAATCAATTTTCTATATAGTTTAAAATTTTTCTCTTCTATTGTTATTCATCCATTACGATTCATCTCTGAGTTAAAGATCCGACGTGACTCTTATGTGTAATTGTATTTCGGATTTAATAAAAGAAAAAAATGAAAAATGAGAAAGCAAAACTGGAATTCTGCTCCTCTCCGATTGCCACCTGAGCAAAAAAGCAAGCAAAGGTGTAAGCCAAGTGTGTATTAAAGATTTAAACAGTGAGGCTAGCCATGGACGCGATATCTCCAGTTCACCATGCCAAGTATTCAAGCCCTAATCCTCCAAAAGCCACGTTTCAGGTCACGCCTGCCTTCCTCCTCATATAAGGATCGCCAACGTTAGGTGTTATGGTTTCTCAAACTCACCACCCGAATTAAAGAAAAAATCACAAAAAAAGTCCTCAATTGTTCTCAAAAAATTCTCACAATGTCGACGTCGGAGATGAGTGGTGGTAGTAGCAGTGTTGGGGTTGCGGAGAAGCCGGCAAAGCGGCCAGTGCAGGGAAGCTCAAGGAAGGGTTGCATGAAGGGGAAAGGAGGGCCGGAGAACGCTATGTGCACTTACAAGGGCGTCAGGCAATGGACGTGGGGGAAATGGGTGGCCGAAATCCGCGAGCCCAACCGCGGGGCCCGGCTCTGGCTCGGGACTTTCGCCACCTCCTATGAGGCTGCTCTGGCTTATGATGCCGCCGCCAGGAAGCTTTACGGTTCCAAGGCGAAGCTCAATTTGCCAGATCAGCAAGCCCCTAACTATCGCCATCGTCAACTGAATCAGCACCTGCAGCATCAAGTATTTCCCTCGTCGGCCAATCCCGGCGTGCCACCTCAAATTCCCAACCAAACCCTTGTGCAGAACAATCCATCAGGTACTGGGACTAATCCTGCATGTTATATACGCTGCTGCTGTGAAAGATATTGCAGTACCTGTTATTCACAATAATTTTCCGAATGTGAAAGTGGATCGGCCCCACGGAAATTATAATTATGGCGGCGCTGAGACCCCGCCGGAGCAGGACGGCATGAAAGTGGAAAAGAATATACTGGTGTGAACAATGAAGGAATGGATGGGATATTCTGGGGGAACATGAGCGAGAGCTTTCCTGTGTTTGATGACTCGATGTGGACGGAGGCAGCCATGTCGCTTGATCTTCCGGTGGTGGCTGATCAAGGGATTTTCGGCAGCGGTTCGTGGATGGGAATTGCCGGGAAACATCACATTCGTCTCAATGGTGCATGATGCAAAATCAAAATTGAAGGTATGGAGATCAAAGGTGGTAGCTTGGTAAATAAAGTTGCACAAGGTACTCTTCAGTGCTTCATATGTCCAAATATATATATATAGAGGTGTGTATAAATATCTATACGGCTGCGGCGCCGCATGAGTTTTCCTGCGCTTTGTCGTGGTCATTCCAGTGTGCTGTATATCATAAACCAATAAGAAAATATAATGTGCATTAAAAGAGTCGCAGCGAGTTTCTTGCTAGTGCTATTGTCCTTGTGTATGTATGACGAATAAAATACAAATATACAAGTATACATGTGTATTTGTGGCTCTACTCTTTCTATATTATGTGATGTGTTATCCAATTTAATCTAATTTGAGGCACTGTATAAGCCTTCTGAGTTAGACCAGATACGTTCTTTTTTGTATGTCTATATTAACCAGCAGAGCCTTCTGAATTAACCAGATAAGTTTTCTGACTTCTGAAGTTAGAATAGCCATAATGGTTAATTAATGTGAGTTGTCTAATTCAATCTAATTCGAGACACCATATGAGTCTTCTAAATTATCTATTGCACAACAGTTGAATTACTTCGCTTATTTCGTCGTATTATAAGATTTCAAGCCATGTTTGTCCCTTTCATTCAACAAGCATCATGTATTTTTGTCAATGCTGGGATTTATTGCCAATTCTACAAGTGAACTTACTGCAACTGGAGTTGACGAGTCATAATTTTATTCTTTACCATATTTGAAGTGTGTCTAAGGGTGGACTATGATGGTAGTTCGACGACTGAACTCTGGTGTATATTTTTGTTCATCTACCTTTCATTCCTTATGACAGACTAAGCCTAGATGTGTAGTTTCTTATGCTAAAGAACTTTGTTTCTCTTCTTTGTCTTAAGTAGGTACTAGTTATTTACTTCATAAGAAATGATATAGATACACTTTTTTTTCTCCCTTTGTAAGTCATGTTTTTTTTGTCCCTCAAACTTTTTTCTATTTCGTTTGATCTGTAGGTTTTTGGACAAAAATTATATTGGTGTACCAAAAAAACTCAAAAAAAAAAAGTTGTCCGGTTTTGTAATGAGTCGCAGCTTGCAGGGGTTTGTTGCAAGTACCACTGTCCTTGTGTATGCATGTATGATATGAATGATACACAAGTGTACATGTATTTTTGTGGCTCTAATCTGTCTCTTCTATATTATGTGAATGGTTTTCCTTTTGAATCTTGTGAGTTGTCTAATTTAGTCTAATCTGAAGCACTGGATGAGCTTTTTGAGTTTTGAGTTAGATTACTTTGCCTATTTCGTCTTTTTGTGGGATTTAATTGCAATTATTTCCTTTCCTGGTTTGATTCCAACTTTTGATGGGAAGTTTTCTAGTCTCATCATCAGGATTTGAAGGATTCCGCTTTCTGCCTCTTGGATAGAAACACAAAATAGACGAAACAATTCAACCGTAGCACCTTGTCTAACTCAAAACTTATAAGGCTCGTCAGATTAATATATAAAGAC